TCAAGTTCATCAACTTAATTTTTTTTAAGTAATTATTATCTATCCAAATTGTTGTAAATTCTATGTGTATTATATAAGAACAGTGTGGTGTTCAGACACAGTGCGAAATATAATTAGTTATAGCTCCGTTTTTTTGTATAATCAAACATAAATTAGAATAAACAATGACTACCGAAATATGCGATAAATATTCAACGGTAATATTGTCTTATTCAAATACATAATCAAACCATACAATATTACTATTCGGCAAATCTTTTGTAATTTGTTATTTTATATTGAAAATGATATTCCGTAGTTTCAGCATTATTTTAAAATTATATTTGATAGTCATGTGAAAAAGCTATCGATTAGGTGAAACTAGGTGAATATTTTCATCGTTAATATTTATATAAATTAAACTTTATAATTCTGAATATTTGCAAAATAACTCGTTGCAAGAAAACTTATTTAAAATTCTTCCGTAAAATATGATTATCTCTATGTGATATTGTTCTAAAACATTTTACTGAGTTACAATATTATAGAACGATATATGTAACAAGTGAAGACCGTAACGACGATGGTAGTCGGTCGATACACGAATGTAAATTTTGCACCTACCCCTTTTTCGATTTTCAAAAATGGACACTCTATTGTATTTAAGACAAAACCGAGTTTATTAAAGTTCATTAACACCTTAGTAAAACATTTTTGTGTTGAATCAATCATCATTTGATTACTTGATATTGTGATATTTGAATAGATAGATTCACATACTCTTATGTGTTTTGTACGTTAGTGGGTTACCGGAGTACAATGTGCGGTTAAGGGATGACGGTTATGCTTTGGACATGACGTCATGGGAACGAGTGACGTCACAACGCCACAAGCTTTTGGGTCAATAGCCGTGTACATAAAGGTCACTGTGAATTCCATTAGTCTCTTTCAAATGGTTAGCATTCATTTTTACTAATTAGGTACCCAATGTATATTATTGCTGTGCAACAATTTGTTTAAAAGTAATTGTATAGGTAGGGGTAGTTTTAGAGTAGTTAACGAAACTGCTTCAATGCGATACAGCCAAAAATGAAAGGCCTTGGAAAGATACTAGAATAAGCGTTGGGACCGACTCCTGATCCACTTCATCCTTCGTTTTACCGTGGCTGTGGTAGCGACTGAATTCTCCCCTCGACCGGGGTGCTGCTATTGATCTGCGTGAGACTTCCTCGCGCTCGCCAGCCACCATCGTCCGCTCTACTATCACTTTTCTACCATCACTGGCTACCCTCATTCATCTCCTTATTTAGCCTATATTTGACTTAATAATGAATTGCCCCTAAAAAGCAACGCAGTTTAAGCATTGATATTATTAAATCTAAGTCAATCGATTTTTATTTAAAGTGTCGATAAGAACATTGCAACAAATGATAATTAGAGATTTTAATATGTTGATCGTACATTTTTTTCTGTTGGAACACTCTTGTACTACTCAAGTTAAGCGCCAACAAAAAGGACATTACTGAGAGATAGGCACTCTACTGTAGTTTATGAGTAAGAGGCTACAAGTGTCTGTAAACGTTTAATTAAGAGATATTTATTTAGTCAAAATTATAATTTTTTGCACTAGTATTTATCGAAATAAAACTTGTACAATATTGCAATTTTAAATTCAGTTAACGTATTGAATATTTCTTTGATCCACAAAAATATTTAAATTAACGAATTTGTGTATTAACTTTAGGTATTAAGGTAAAAAATATTTCTCTGCATATAAAGTATAATGAGGAGGATCGTTCTATGGATATCTGATTTTATTGCAATTTTCAAATTACATTAGTGAATGAATACCTTTCAGAAAATATGTAATGAATGCCAAAAATTTATTCGATTATTGAACGAACGTTATTGCTTTTAAAATATTTTTCATCATTATGCACTCAATGTGTACGCAGTTCATTAAATAGGTTTTTTAATGAACAAAAATGAAGCTTCATTTAGCCTGTTATTTTGATGGTGGCAGTAAATCGTTTAACAAAAAGTATATAATCTTCCAAGTGGTTTTTAAGAGCGATGTTTGTCAACTTATCCTAATATTATTTTTTTTATACATTGAGTAAACTTTTCTTTTATATAGTTGATGTTTCATGTCGTAAAAGTGCTATTGGGTTTATTAAACCCTGAGCACATTTTTTTTTAGATAAATATGTTATCTCCTGTTGTTGTCATAATACGATTTTCAGACATTTGTTAAAAAATTGCCAATCACTATTTATACAATATGATTTATTAAGAATACTAACACACATTTTTTCGTAAAATATTATTTTTTGTGCTCTTTTTTAATGTCATAATTATTTTCATTTTTTAAATAAATTTTTATAATTGTCAATAGTTTTAAAAAGTGTTCTGCTAATAATAAAAGAATAAGGGATAAGTGTACCCCCATTTTTTCATGAAACAATATTTTTTTTATAAAAATGTATAAATAAAATTTTATTTATTTTTAAAAACCTTTCAAATAATAAGTAGGAAGCTATTATTATTTTTTACTAATAAATTAAGAATAGTTTAAATAAAATTTTGACTGATGGATAGCTAGTTGTGTATTACTACTTTTTGAGTTAATTTTCAGCTATAGGCAACTAAGATGCGTAGCGTAGAAGAATTGTTATCTGTGTACTATGGTAAATACAATGCATCACAAAACCCTACGCCATATCTTGTCTTTCTAAACATATAATTGTTAATATTTCAAAAGTTTTATTATAAAATTAGTTATTTATCAGGCAAAATTTTATTTAATCCATTTCACATTTAATAGTAAAAAATAAATAAAATAAATAGGTTCCTATTTAACTTTTGAAATTAAGTCCTAAATTCTATCCTTAGAAATAATGTTTTCTTCTAATTAACTTGATATCAAAAATGGTTCTTAAAAGTTTTTTGCAAAAATCAAATATTTTAAATTTTTGGAAAACCTTTTATTGAAACAATATATATATATATATCGGTTTATCAAAAATCACTAGATTACTCTAAAATAAAAATAATATTGGAAAAAAAAATGTTGAATTTTTCGGATACGTTTTGATTTTTAGCTATAAATGACTTTTTTGGGATTATCCCTTCTTTTAAAGGTGTCAGCTTTATTCTTTCAAATGGCTACTTACATAGCTCCCTTCTTTTTCTTTTTTTCTCCTCTTTATCTCAACCCTTATCCTAAACTTTCAGTTGACACGATCTCCCACATCATTTACACACACATCAGCCATCCTCATATTACATTTAATAACATCCCTCCGTATTTTTTGATCTTCCTCTACCTATATTTCCCTCGACATTCATTTCCATAACTGTTCTTAATATTCCTTACATAATTAACTAGCTTATTTAATAGATAATGATATAATTAAAAAAATGACTCGTCGATAACAACTTTTGGACCAATTCTTTGGAAGTTATTCTCGTTTCTATACTTAGGCAAGAGGAAGAGTTAAGACGAGAAATTAGTGATAAAAATAGCAGCAGCACCCACTTCTCACCTCCAGTAATTATTATAAATTGTTAATAACTTCGTAAATACTGGTCCAAAAGTTGTTATCAACTAAACATTTTCTTAATTAAATTATGTCCTCTTTTATAAGCTAGTTAAATATGTGTGTTGCTTTATTTAAAAAAAAAAAACGTTTTCAATAGAAGTTAATTTAAGTATCCTACAAAAATCATAAGTGTTTATTACACAGTAGTAAAAATTCTGAGTACAGTTAATGTAAAAGTAATTTATTTTGTGTGTACGGTTTTGATGACACGTGCACTGTTATTGTTTACACCGAGTGGCGCAGAAAAAGCACACCAAGCGTATCGCTCCCAATGTTACCACAATGTGGTTTAATCAATTGTCGCAACTAAGGTCTACAGGTGATACCATGCAAAACCATAAAGCAATACTTTGTTTTTAAGATAAAAATGAATTAGTTCTATGAAAATATTTATTCACTATAAATACATTCAAAATTAATACATTAAAATTGTTGTATTAATTAAGATATTAGTATTTAAATGACTGATATTAAACTAAAAAAGGGTATATAAATAAATAACTTATTAATTAACTTTAGAAGTCGTGAGGAATGTTTATGAAAAAAAAGTTTTACAGGATTACGACCGATTTTAGAAGTGAGGAGGCCTGAAGCGGATATTTTCAGTAGGCCCGCAATAAGAAAATTTTCACTAATCTTTAACCAGATTATGAATTGATGAGTAAAAAAGGTCCATCGCTTTATTCAGAATGAGCTCATTTTATCCATTGGATATTGGAGACTCAAACTATTCCCTCAGTCAACCAAGGCCTTGTGATTTCTTTATAGCGCATTACTCTTAAGATCATTTTTAATTTAATATATATTATAACTATGGATGAGTCGGACTATCTTTGAAATTATAAAACTTTTTTAAACAAATGGTTAGGACGGTCACTACTTTATGAAAGCTCAAAATAACGCTTTATATTACAAACATTTTTTGAAATAATCTTAAAAAATCTATTTTATTATAAAATGAGTTTCTTTTCAAAGCCTTTTGATTAAATAATTCAGGTACATATCCGAAGGAAGAAATATATTTTTATAGAAATATGACTAAAATTACAATAATAATACGCATAAAACAATCGTGACTAAATTATTGCATTTTGATTTTAATAATAAATTTTGATCTGGTCTAAGTATATTTTAAAAAGACTATTTTGAAATGCAATACAATACAATCCTATAAACTTCCATTAGAAGTGTTATACAAATAATTTAAATGTCAAAGTAATATTTGTATTTAAAATATGTATAGTGATTAAGATGTTGCTTCCTAGATATTTTATTAAAGATCATTATTGTATTTAATATTTTAATGTTACAACAGATTATCGACCATAAATATTTTAGATATAAAAAGTATTTAAATTGCAACTATAAACGAGAATTTTCATCTAAGAAGGATCATAATAAATATTTTAATTTTTATAGCTGACAGCAGTTTTCTTTTGGCAAACGCACAGATTGTCGACTTTCCAATTGTCTACTGTAACGAGTCTTTCTGTAAAATATCTGGATACAACCGGGCGGAGGTAATTCACAATTGGATAAATTCTCTTTCGAGCTATTTATTTTTAACAAAATGCAAATGACTCAAATCGTTAACTCTCTGCTCATATTTATACTTTAAAGGTTATGCAAAAATCATGCCGCTGTTCATTTATGTATGGTGATCTAACGGATAAAGATACCATTTGCAGAATAGACGAGGTGCTGGAAAGTCATTACCACGACCAATTTGAAATTTTGCTGTACAAAAAAAATAGTATGTACTTACACTATAATTAAAGTTATTTTTTATTTTTAGATTATTTAAAAATACTATATGACATTGGAAATTTCTCCTTAATGTTATAGCGAAAAAGTATTTTTATTTGACTGTTCCCTTGAATCCTTTCAAATTTTAAAAAATATTTTAAACCATTGAATTCATTGAGGTCATACAATATCATTTAAATATTTTTGTGGTGTTACACCTGAAATAATCAAACCACAGAATGTAAATGATAACAATCATTTTTTTTTTTTTAGAATATTTTATAAAATTTCAAAAACATTGTACTTATGGGCCCTGAAATTGTATACAATATCTGTTAAAAAAAAAAAAAAAAAAAAAATTGAATTCACTGATATTGTTCAAATCGGAAATTAAGTTATTTCATTTCACTGTCTAAATAGTATTGTGGTTGAAATAATATTTTTTTATTTCCTATAAAACTATTTCGTAATTTATAGTGTATTTTGAATTTGATAGACTTTCGTTTTTAATTAAATAATAATGATATTTAATAAAAATTTTTCAATCAAAACATTTATTTTAATTAATATAAACACCATAGTAATTTAAATAAAATTTTTATCACATTTTTAAAAGTCTTTTTTTGAAATTTATCGAATATCTAATATTTATGTTTAAAAATAAATATAACTTACTAAAATAACCGATGTAAATTTTTTCAATATTAACATTTTATATTATTTTCATTTATTCAAGCACAAAAGTTTTTAAATAAATAAATCTCCTTAATTAAAACAATTATTTATTAAAAAAAAATTACTAATCAAATTAAAATTTAAAACGATAGCAATTTTTGAAATAAATCAAAAGGTTACATAAGATTAGCTTAATGAAAGTCAATTATCGATTAAAAATTAATCTAACATTTTGTTAAAACCTTTCTTTAATATTTTCACCAACATGTGTGTTACATTTTTATATTTAAAAGATTTTTTCTGATAAATTACATTGATTTATGATAGAGTTTTGAACAAAACTATACGACGGAACTGCATTTACCTAGATTTCAAAAATTCATTTATCTAAATCAAATTCAGATAATGTCGGTTCATTATAAGATTAGTTATATAGTTACTGAAATTTTATTATATGGGTCGTTTTCATGAAGTTTTTTAATATAATTTAAATACACTTGATTATATACTATATATCTAGTATACATAAATCAATCATAATAATAATAAATAACTATCAAATGACATCTATCCATATTTAATAGGTTTTTTATTTTAATAGTGATTATGATTAAATAAAATATTTAACTTATTTATTTGTTAGTTAAAATTGATATTTGAATAATTGTTGAAAATACTTCAAGAAAAAATTATATGAATATAATCTAAATAGTTTATAAAAAGTCTCACTATATTCATAATTAGATTTGTAAAATTAGATAAAAATTTTAGCCATCTTTGCGTCAGTTAGTTTTCTCTTATACTCTTATACTAATTGAATAATATTTCATTATTTATTTATACTATACGATATTATGGTGTAAAAAGAAAACGAAACCTTCTTTTCTTAGTCAACATACAATTATTTCATACATGTTATTGATCATTGTTAAATAAGGCAAAAAATAAAACAAAAAACCTTAAATTAAGTACACTTAAATTACACATGGCCTTTGTGTATTATTTTATTGAACATTAAATCGAAAATAAACAAAATTATAAATTTAATATCAATATTATTAAGTAATATTTTTTTTTTATTAAGAATTAATCAACTAAAGTGTCTTTGTTTTTCAATACATGTATCAACACAGATTTGCCAGAAGGTATGTTGACTTTAGGACTGGGCAAGTACTGTAGAAATCCATCGGTTTATTTGATGTATTCGATAATGTATTTAATGACATAATATTATTATAATTATATTTTTATTTTCGCTCAGTTCCTATTTGAAAACTTTTTGACATCATATTTTACATTGATAGATCTTTTTTTAGAACCCAAATATCTTATTAGATCTATTATCGCTTTTGAGTTATTTAATATTGTACCCGTATAGCTTATATTGTTATGCTTTTAATGAACAAATACGTTTATAAGACAACACAGACAATTACTTCCTCAGTTTTAATAACAATACACAATATAGTTTAGTAGATAGAATAGAAATATTAACATTAAATCAATCTTGCGCTCACGAATTATAGAGTTTATTAGTTTTTGTATTCTAAATGTCATTAATATCTATTAACTTAAGCATATTCAAAAAATATGTAAATGTTTAATGTTAATATTGTATAATATCGATCGACTTAGTTTTTAAACATATTTTAACGAAAATAAAAAAATAAAATGATCAATTTTTATAAAATTGAATCATTTTACTAAAATGGAACAATATAATTAATATTAAAATTGGTATGCGAATACTTTTTTTATAAGAATTATTTCTCTTTTAGAATTAATTTAACTACCTGAGTAATAAGGAAATTTGTATAATTATTTTATAATTTATTATACTCATAATATAGTCTTAAGTATCCTCTTAACATACCTTGTTATTGATTGAAAAGTATCTAAGTAGAACTAAATTATTCTAGCTTTACGTACAATTAATAAATCACAATTAATATAGAGAAATAAAAGTTTAAGCTTAATACTGCTTTCTATACACTTGTGCTACGTTATTTCAAATACATATTTTATGCTTTATAAATTATTATTATGGAGTTTTTCTAAAAGAAAGTCCTCATATTGTTTTATTGTGTAGAATAGATAAACTGTGTAAAGAGTTTCTTTTCTGGGTCGTAATTAAATATATATATATATATTTTATATCACTTGGTATTAATGTAAAGGGTAAAATAATATTTGTATTAATTTACAAGCTTATCTGATCTCATAAAGAAAAACATTCAGGGGCAATATGTATAGATAAATTGATTTACCATACATTGTATATTTTCAGTAAATAAATATTTGGTAGTTATTTTATATAGGTGTATTAAATGAAAAAGAAAGGCTTTATGATGATTTTTCGATGTTACCTAGGAATGAAAAAATGTTTAACCTAATATTTTATTTAAAATGTTATGTAGGACATTCTTTTAACTAATTATTAGTTATACTACAATACTTTATTTAAAATATGATGTCCACTAAACCTATAAATAGTTTATATGACTAGTATAATTAGTAATTCATTATAATTTAAAATCATAAATGCTAAATTTTATTATTTATTTAACTACTGTGTAGATAAATTTGTTTACTGAAATATATAATTACATACATAGCCTTTATGACCTATTAGTTCATATTTTATACCTGAGTAGTTAAACGGTTAATAAAAATTTGGACGTAGTATTTTAACTTTTATTTGGCATGGTCATATATGATATATCTAATTAATAGCACAATTAATTTTTATTTTATTATTGAATTAATTAACTTGTTGAATACTGATATTAAAATTAACTTTTCTAACATGCCAAATAAATGATACATTTCATTTTTAATGAAATTAAATAAATTTTCTTTGTTAACTTTTACTACGACCTTATAATACTATCTTATAATATTTGTTAGAAACTCCATTATGGTTGCTGATGCAGATAGCTCCGATAAAAAACGAGCGGGACCTCGTGGTGCTGTTTTTATTAACATTCAGAGATATTACAGCACTCAAACAACCAATCGAATCAGAGGACTCCAAAGGCGGTAAGTTAAATATTAATGTAACATTGTAATGTTAAACTAAATATATTCGAAGGTTTTAAAAATATATTAAATGGAATTATGAAACGGACATAATTACAAATTTTTAATGCAACTTAAAAATACTTAAGATTATTTTAAATGTGTAGCAATGATATTTTAATAAGTATACAAAATTGATATGGAAAATATTGTTATTTTGTTAACGGCTTTATTGATTTTCCTCGAATTNAAATATATTCGAAGGTTTTAAAAATATATTAAATGGAATTATGAAACGGACATAATTACAAATTTTTAATGCAACTTAAAAATGGATAGATTTAAGATTATTTTAAATGTGTAGCAATGATATTTTAAAAAGTATACAAAATTGATATGGAAAATATTGTTATTTTGTTAACGGCTTTATTGATTTTCCTCGAATCAATGAAATTATAATTATTTTTCATTAACTATTTTCCAGAAGTATTAAAAAAAAATTATTCTCAAATATAATACCACTAATTAAAACAATAATTTTATTCGACACTCAAATTAACGAACATCTTATTCTTTATTATCAAAAATTAGTGTAGTTAAATTTCATGATAACTTTTGGGTACCATTAGCTATACATCAAAAATATGTTGTTATTCTATATACAGAGTGAATTACGAAGATATGACAAATTCAATTATAATTTTATTGACATTTTTTAAAAATAATTATTGCCTTGGTAAACTACGTTCAAACAGTATTTCTTATTATTTATCACAAATAAAAAATATAATTTTGTAATTTTGTAGTTTTCTTTTTACCGAAAAATAATTTAATGAATTGATAACAATTTTAATATAAGTATTTATTGAATTATACGCATTTTAATACAAAGAGTGGATATGTAACGGGGTAGATGCAACTTGTAATAGTTTCAGTATATTCCGCCTGCGGATATACACTATTACAATGCTTGTAACTCGATAGGTACATATCCTAAAATTGTTCTAAAAACAAACAAAATTGTTTGTTAAAAAAAAAAAATTATGAAAAAATGTTCTTATTGAAGTTTTACATAAAACAAAAATTACAGATTTTTATTTTTTCCTATTATTAGTGATTAATAATAAAAATTATGTTTCGAGATAGTCTAAAAATGCAATAACTATTTATAAAATTATTTTAAACAAAATTTTAATTGTATCAAAAGCTTATTTGTTAAAGATTTGTTATATTTTCGTGATCCTAAAGTGATATAATATGATATAGTCTTATGATATAAAGTCATATAAAATCGATTCGACTATAGTAAGTAAGCCAACTTATATTAGAATCGAAATTATTTTTTGTGGGGGTTGTTAATGTTTTGAAAATGGCTATTCAATTACTAAAGTTTGAAAGCAAAAATATTATCATTATCGTGATTTATTATTAGAACCGAATTGAAAAATCAAATTGAATATAAAGTTAATTTTGTGTTTTAAATTTTAAAAATAATGAATACGAGTAATAATGAACTAATTTATTAACTAATAATGAATTATCGTAAATCGTTATCATAGTATAACAAAGAAATTTCATTTTTCATTCAATGCACTATAAAAAATCTAGACACTTAAAAACTAATTAGTTAAGTGTATTCTTAAAAAGGTTTTAAACATAGTTGCTATTCACTTAAAAATAAGTTATTTGGTACTCCTCCTTAACTTTGGAAAACTTGAATAACAGTGAAATAAAAATAAGTTCTTTTTTACATAATTTTTTTTTACAAATCAAAACTGTTTTTAAGAGAATCGTACTAAATATATTTGAAGATGATGTAGAAATCATAAAATGAAATGAGATAATAAAAACTGGTTGTATGTATATATGAAAAAAGGAAAATTGATTTCAAAACATAACATTATTTTTATCTGAGTGCAATAATTCATCAACTAGATTAAAAATTATTAATCTAGTATTTCTTAATGAATGGACTTCTTTTCGCGATGCTTATAATTCATACTTGGATAAATTAACTAACCAAAATATGTACTACCGTAAATACTCCAATACCGTAAAATATAATTATAATTTTTATAAAAATTTAATAAAAGATTATAAAAATTAATTTTTTAGTTGGCTTCCTTACAGAAATATTAAATATTTTAGTTCATTTGAATGTTTTTAGAAGTTGAGTCGCCACTTTATAGTATGGACGCTTATAATTGTTTAACATACTTCTCAAAGCGGTTTCAATATAAAGCCTATGATTAATATGTAAAAATTTGTTTATAATTATAAATATGCCTTAGCTCATTAAGCAAAATGTCAAATTTTTTTTTTTAATTGATTGGAAAGGGCTGGGAATTTGAAAAATTTTAGCTTGTAGCAACCATAAGCATTAATATTATGTAATGATTAAACCCTAAGAAAAATTCCTTTAACACTTTTTGAACACAATTATAAAATTACTAAAAATGACTATGCTAAAAACTAAAAAGTTTCATCGGTTCTATTAAATATTATAATTCATTCGAATATATTGTTAAAATAAAAGTTTGTATTGTATAATTGTTTTTATAACGTTTTGAATTGCTAGTTGTGTTGCCGTTGTGATTGTAATAATTTCCAATGTCACATAATATATTTATAAAATTACATAGGTAGTACAAAAACATATAGTATAAATACATAGCCTATTCGAAGTAAAGGTATTATAGAATATAGAGATGAGGGCGAGGGAGTAATTAAAACAACAACACCTGAGCACGGTCGTTTAGGTTCTAGAGTATATTTCATTGGATAAACTCTCATTATTGATTGTGCCCAACTAAAATATGCTTATATGCGACATTAATATTAAATAATATGATAAACTATTCACCTCACAAATTTCTTAATTTATTAATATTTTATTATATTAACAATACATATAAATTAATATATTTAAAGTACTAATTTATAACTAAAAAATATTTAACTCAAATAGCTAAAAAAATTACTAAAAAAACCCTTATATGAATTTTATATTAAGTATAAGTATATTTATAATCACTTCATTAAAACCATACAACTAATCAATAAAACTTGTTTAAAAACAACAGTAACTTAATGAATTGTGATCTTGACATACTGAAAAATTCATTATTATATTTGTGTGAATACTGTAAAATGTAGCAATCGTCTTGGTAATAACGTTACTTGATGATAATATTACTTGAGGTGTACAAGGCAGTTTTTCTGTCAGGCTATCAGTATGTGTTTAGCACTGATGATGGTAACGTTGTTCTTGAAATAATTATGAGCGATTTGTTTTTTGTAATTTTTCTGGCTTTTTGAGTTAAATATTTAAATATTTTTTTTAGTTTTAAATTAATAAACATAATTGACTAAATAACATGATATGCGAATATATAGTCGGATTAATACAAAAATAATTATTAAGTAGACGTAGATTTTTTTAGATATATTTTTGTATAAATTGTAGATAAGAGAACATATCCTATAAGATAATTTAATATTGATATCAAAATTATTTAATAAAGGTTTGAAGTATTGATGTGCAGTAAATATAGTAAATTTATTTGTAGGCTTTATTTCTAATTTTAGAAGTACTATTTGCCAAAAATTTTTGTTTTTGTAAGTTACTATCATTTAATATATAAATGCACATATTAATATACTCAATGAAAATTCCACATATAAATACATATAATTGGTATTTTCTTGACAATGTTTATCATAATTAATAAGAGAAGATATTTAAAATCAAAAATGCAATCTAGAACATATTATGAACTTGTACATCAACATATTTCAGTTCTATTAGGATAACGTGTATTTATATTTTGTTAATAGGGAAGGTGTAAAACAATTTTTTGATCAAAAATTTATGAATCATATGAATTCAGATATTTTTGTATTTGCATGCTTTATTTTTAATGCGGTGATTTTTGTGTTTCGTGTCAACTTCATAGATTATTATGTGACATGGGGAATACAGGGTAAAAGTAGTATATGAGGTAAAATGTGACAGCTTTTTAATTAAAACGTCAATATAATGAAAATAAATAAACAATTTTCTTTATATTTTAATAATTGTCATTACAGTATATAATTGATTATTTATTATGTTAATTTTGCCTAATTTCAAAATTCTGTATTAGATCTAGTTTTATGAAAAACTCTTCATAACATTATTTGTTTTATATCATATTAATTAGTTCTTCATTCTTTATGAAAACAAACATATTTTTATATTCACTGTACTACTTTACATTGAGATAATTGAGACATTGTGCTTCATTCTTTAAAATATTTTCACTAAATAATTGAAATGGTTATTGGAACATATTGATTAATTTTTTTTATTTATATACTTATTTCTATTTAAATAATTTTAGGATTCAATTTCAAATGTTACATGTATGCCAAAAGATTCCTTAAATAAAACAAATAAATATTACTTATTATATTTTCTAAAAGTATTTTTTTAGATTACAAAAAGAAAAATGGCCGACAAAAAAATAAATAAAATAAAAATAAAAATGTATCATCATTTTTTACTGTGTTGATTTTACTTCCTCGTGTTGATGTAGTTAACAGTATGTGAGCAAATATAAACAAAGTAACAATGACGTACAGTTTAATTATTATGAATTTTTTTTTTAAAGTAAATGAGTCTAAAACAAAAAAAAAACACGGAACAGTTTTGTGATGTAATATTTCAGTAAAAACAAGATATTTACAAAGTGATCAGTCTATCACAAACCATTCGATTACAAAATAAATACAATATTAGAAAAAAAAATGTTTGATTTCTATTAGTTACATATATTTCTTGATTTATCAGCTATACATTTTCTGGAATCATCCTTCATAACTTATAAGGTTGTCAACTTATTTTTTTTTTAAATTGTAACATAAACATTTAAATAGCTTAAAAAATAGAAAATAATCTATTTTGAAGTTTTCACACCTTCAAGTTATAAAGGATATTTTAAAAATTCATTATTAACTGATAAATTATGAAATATGCGTAACTAAAAAAAACAATATTTTTTTTTCAATATTTTATTTATTTTGGGAGTAATCGAGTGGTCAATGATATACCACTTATCAAAGTGATATCATCACTTTTTCTTAGTTAAGGTTGGTTTTTTATTAAAAAGTTTATGTTTTATATTCAAAGCAGTCTTATAATTTTTCAATTATATATGAAAGATAAGGTCTAGGATAACTAACATCACAAAATTTAAAGGAAAGACAAAAGAGAGAAAGAAAAAATATAAAAATAATTAACCAGTAAAATAAGTAGTTAATATCAGTCTTATTAACTTTTTTATTGTATGAAGTGACTTCACCAATGAATGAACAATTAAAAGTTTTTCATCTTTTAAATTACTTTTTAATTTATATTTTGATATTACAATTATTAAGTAAATAAATATTTGTTCTCTGGAAAATTTTTTATAATAATAATAATATAAAAATATTTCTTACTAAGTATCATAAAAAATTTAATTCATTAATAAATGTTAAAAATTGGAATTTTCCACCGAATAAATAGTTAAGAATATTGTATCGATAATTGTAATATTGTAGAAGGATTTAATTTAGATATTTTCTTTGTTATAATATAAATATAATATAAGTTGTTGCTTGTAGATTATATTATAATCTACAAGCAACAACTTGTTACAATCAACTAAAACAATTTTATAGTTAAAACTTAGCGGTGATCGTTTAGTAGAAGTATTCATTCACTATTAATTTGAACACCCTATTTAACAATAAAACTATTCTATTTTAATAAAAGTAAATTAATACTATGGTTAGTCCAACTAAAGTGGTGTCCATATTTCATTTAAAATGTTTTCCGTGTTATGATGTTTAATATTTTACATTTATTCACATTTCATTATAAGTTTCTCATTTTTTTGTCATATGGATTAACATAATCAAAAACTAAGAATGTTTTGCATGATTTGAGTTTTTGAAGTATATACAATGTTTTTCACAAATGCTATGTCTCATTGACTGAAATAAACAAAAATATTTTTATTTAGAAAAAAACATTTCTATTAATCAAACAATATCTATTTAAATGACAAATTTGGAGATAACAAAATATTCATTGAAATCTTAAATAATTCTATTCTAATTAAATAATTCACCAGAAATTATCACAAATATCATTAAACATATTTAAAAATCTTGTCTTGTTATCGTTCGTTTTTTACTGCATGCTGAGTGGTGTTTGTTTTTGTTTGTTTTGTTATGCCATGCCCAACACCAGGAGATCTGTTAGCAGGCCTCAGCAAGTTCGCAAAGCTGGCAAGGTCGGTCACCAGGAGCAAGACATTGGTATCACAGTTTTCTTCTCATCCCGTCTCCATCAAGGATTCTACCAGACATGTGCAATCCCATTTAGCACATGTAAGTATAGTGCAAATTTTATCCTAATTAATTAATGTAAGAATAATGTATTTTATACAAAATACAAAAACAATATTATTTATAAATACTATTTATGCGATGAAACTGAGTATGATACATGAAAATGATTTCAGATGATGAGCTTGAACGCGGATGTGATGCCACAGTATCGACAGGAGGCTCCCAAAACTCCTCCACACATCCTTTTACATTATTGTGCGTTCAAAGCTATCTGGGATTGGGTGATACTATGCTTAACGTTTTATACAGCTATCATGGTACCGTACAATGTAGCGTTCAAAAATAAAACTAGCGAGGACGTGTCCCTATTAGTCTTAGATTCTATTGTCGATGTCATATTTTTTATAGACATTGTACTTAACTTTCATACCACGTTCGTCGGTCCTGGTGGAGAAGTAGTGTCTGATCCAAAAGTGATTAGAATGAATTACTTAAGGTCATGGTTCGTAATAGACTTGTTATCATGTCTTCCATACGATGTATTCAATGCATTCGATCATGACGAAGAAGTGAGTAGGGTTTATTGATATGTTCTATAACAAGACCTAAAACATTTATTTATTAGTTTAAATTTAAATATTGAATGTTGTATTAGTGAATGCCAATTAGAATATAATATATACATTTTTTTTTTTGAAGCAACAAATAGTTGTTTAAGAGTAAAAATAAACTAAAAAAACGTTCGAGTATTCTACATAAATATTCAAAAATTTAGTATCATTATATAAAATAGTTGATAATTTTTGTTTATATTATAATTACTTTTGATATCTAACAATTCTACAGCAGCATTATTTTATAAAATGTCTAAAAGACTATAAATGATATTTAAAAGGGTTTTAATAAGCTAGAGATTTTGGTTTACTCTAAATATTTAGTTATACAGCAAATATATAAAGAAAGTATTTGCGGTAGCTGAAGGATTAGGAAACTGAACTTTATTCAGTCGAAATGAGAGAGGGTTCTAAAATACTATCAAGAAAATTATGGTATTTAATCAACTATATGCCAGACAAAGATAGTAAATAATTTCGTTTTGGTCGTTAAATTGTTTCATTAAGATACAATATAGTTGAAATTTTTTTAGCAATATAATTACTATATTTTATGATATCTAAGCAGAAAATTTTCGATAAGGAAGAATGTCATATAATTTATGTGCAAATAAAGTTAATTCATTTTTTTTTTTAATAAAATTTTATTTTAATAGCATCATGACTTTAATAAAAAAATCATAGATTAAAGAAATGTGTAATTACTTATTTTTAATTTATTTGATACAAAAAAATAAACTTAATATAAGGTTAATGATTGATATACGACGCCAAAAAATGAAAATCATTTTATAGGGTTTAAATAAAACATCATAAGATATTTATAAAATTAATTATAAATTATTTAAAATAAATCTCCTAAGTTATTTTTATAACGAAGAATTCGAAGAAAAATAATTGCGATGACTACACTTGTACAGACTCAAACAAGTTCGTAGATAGATAATATTTTTAGATTTATTCGTTAAGTTTAATGAAGTATCTATAGTACTATTCTAATTTAATAAAATACCTCCCTCTCTAAAATATCATGTATTTATGTAAAATAAATCGATTTTATTTAATCAAAATGAATTTTCAAACCAAAAAACATACATTTTGAATTTAGCTAGTATAATAAGGAATACATTTTATTTTATGTAATAATACATTTTTAAATTTATCAACGATTTTTTATATTTAAAATGAATATTATAAAAATTTATTTATTTTTATTTATAAGTATAAAAAAATAATTAGGTCAACTTTTACAGCACAGAAAATCTAAAACAATATTTTTCTTAATATAAAATCATCAGACTTTTAATAAGTTTTAGTACAAAATCAATGAAAAAAGATATGCCATTTTATCTATTTGGCTATTTACAAACTATTGCCTAAAAAATGTTTTTTCATTGTGTTTATCCATTTTATTTATTTAATTAACGTTCATAATTCTGTTTGTCAACTACACTTATATTAAGAGAAATCAAGTAACTATATGGTAGTGATATAAAACTACTTTGACCGTTTTACTAAAAATAATTTTACCTGATTTACTTTATTATGCGGTCGCGAATACTATTATTCTAGTTTTTGAAGGAATAAAAAAAAGAAGTTCAGAATAATGCAATTCCGTAATTTTTTAAGTTCGAAATCAAATGACTTTACCAATGTTGAGTACTAAATCGTGACTTATAATCATTTAAAGTCGTAAAAAACTAATAAAGAACAAAATAAATGTCTGTTTATGCGATCACACAGTATAATATAATAAGATTTTGATCACGAATAGTCACGAAAACAAATGGAAAAACGATTTGATAATTTTTTTAAAATAAAAAATGCATATATACATTTTTTGGTTACAATTTCCATGCGCATATTATTTGACACACAATAATCGTTTTATTTAGTTAGACAATAATTTTGCATAATAAATCTTACAAAAAAAAACTTTCTGTAAATATTCGTATATTTCATGATAAATATTTACCATTCTGTTTTTCTACATAGGATCATACTTAAATTTTGTCGTCTCTTATAAAATATCATAATATAATATCTTGCTACATTTTTTTTTATTCAAATAGGGCTTTATTTCAATACATTTTAGTCAATTTTATATAATGCAATCGTTGTTTCATCTTATATTTCACAAAATTCATACGGATTTTGTTCAATCAGTAAAATATAATACTATTTAAGGTTATTTGATATAATTTTCTTTAATCACTTTAATTTTAATTTTTTTTTCAAATCATAAACATATTAATATAATATTGTAACTAAAAATAAAAGTAAAAGTTTAACAAGTATCTTATCGTTAATTAAATGTAAATATTTTTTTCGTAATTTACAAAGTATTTTGAAATTTATGGATCTATTATTATTCATTACAGATTTTGTTTTAATTTTTTTTTATAAATTTAAAAGTGAATATGACCAGTAATTTTACTAGAAATGTTGTGGGTCAGGATACAGAATGTTTTATTTTTGAAATTTATAAATTATAATTGTGTTTTAATGCAGGGCATTGGAAGTCTTTTCAGTGCATTGAAAGTGGTTCGATTGCTACGGCTGGGTAGGGTAGTGAGAAAACTAGATAGATACTTAGAATACGGTGCAGCAATGTTAATACTGCTCTTGTGTTTCTATATGTTAGTTGCACATTGGCTTGCATGCATATGGTATTCTATAGGTATGTATTTAATCGAAATACATAGGAAACAGTAAAAAACAATTAGTTGTGGCCTATTTGTCTTAGGTCGATCTGACGCCGAAAATGGTTATCAATACTCGTGGTTGTGGAAATTGGCTAACATTACCCAATATCCTTATTCGTACCAATTGACCGATGATGCTAACTCTACTGAACTTGTTCACGGACCTCCTAGAAAAACAATGTACGTGACAGCGTTGTATTTCACGATGTCATGCATGACAAGTGTAGGGTTTGGTAACGTGGCATCAGAAACTGATAATGAAAAAATATTCACTATTTGTATGATGGTAATTGCGTGTAAGTATTATTTTCAGGCACCACTTATTATTAATTTAATTGTTTAATTAAATATTTATTATTATAGCACTATTGTACGCTACAATTTTTGGTCACGTTACTACGATTATACAGCAAATGACATCAGCAACCGCTAAGTACCACGATATGCTAAATAATGTCCGAGAGTTTATGAAATTACATGAAGTACCGAAAGCATTATCCGAACGTGTCATGGACTACGTGGTATCTACTTGGGCGATGACTCGAGGCTTGGACACAGATAAAGTAATATATAAATAAATTACTATGTGTTTTATTCTTTAAGTTCTATTTATGTATATTATTGCCGGTTTCTTGCATAGAGCGCAGCACATTATTATCTTAATCCTTAATAATTAATAAATACACATTCATAGGTTCAATTATAACTAATACTTATGTACAATTTATTTCATTTATTTTAATGATTGAAATATTTCAGGTACTAAATTATTGCCCAAAAGACATGAAAGCAGACATCTGTGTTCATTTAAACCGAAAAGTGTTCAATGAGCATCCGGCTTTTCGATTAGCTAGCGATGGTTGTTTACGTGCCCTCGCTATGCATTTCACTATGAGTCACTCGGCACCTGGTGATCTTCTCTTTCATACCGGCGAGTCCATTGATTCACTTTGTTTTATTGTGACTGGTTCACTGGAAGTCATCCAAGACGACGAAGTTGTTGCAATTTTAGGTATTAAAAACCTATTTTAAATTAGATACTACATGTAAAGTTAGTTGGGATGTGTACTAATCTTCATTATTTTTTCCGACATTTTTTTAATTGATACACTACATTAAATGTTTGAAAATCATATTAATGAGTTTTATAAATATATATTAAGGTGGTCTAAAAGTGACAAAAAAAAATTTTTTTTTTTTATGTTATACTCCTACACTTGTAAAAAACACGAAAAATTAATTTTTGAGCCATCCCAAGCTATTTGAAAATTTTTAACTTAAAAAAATAATAATGAAAACTATTTTATGTATACGTTCTTATATTTTTTTATCAATAAGTCAAGCTATATTATATAAATCATTTTTAACATTTCTAATTTTACTTACTAAAGAATTAAAAAATTATATAAAAGTTGAATTGCTTTTTTTTAAAGTGTGTTTGCTGCAATCAGGGTAAATCTTCCGATGCTCAGAAACTACTTGTAAGAGAAACTGAAGTTGATCCTCATCATGAGTAATTTTGCGATTAAGGTCTTGAATCAATGAAACTCCTCTTTCTGCCACGTCATTGGTAACTCGAAGATTCTTAAAAACTTCCTCTGCTTTTAAGTAGCTTTTAGACTCGGTCCAGTTTACCACGTCATTTTTCAAAAATTCATCGACACCAAATTCTGTGAAAATTTGTATTGTATTTTTGTTAGCTAAATCATGAAGCTGTAAATTTTCTACATCGTGTTGGTCAATTTTCGGTCTTACATTGGGAACTTCTGGAGAGGGGTTATTATTTATGGCGTAAATTATCTTACATTTGGTTTCAACAGGGACATTTTTGTCGAACAGACAAAGACCAACTAACTCATCTGACAAATACCATAAATGACCCATCATTTTTTTTACAGTGGCTTTTGAAATATGTGGATTATCATATTTTATTAAGGTCTTTATCAGTTGCAAGTCATTATTTGGAGCACATGCCGCCAAAGTTGCAGTGAACCAATTTTTTAAATGGACGGTTACAATGAAAACACATATTTCCTCGAGGCCCCTTTTTTCTTTGGTACTTAGATGAAATTGTCCACTAAACATAAATATTTTTAAACAGTAAATTACTTTTGACATCCAACGTGAATGACTAGTAGCACCTGGAGTCATAAATTTTATTCCTCTGGTAGGTTCTTCACCAAGAAATATAACTGATAATTCCAGCATCTCACGATAATCATCTCTTACTTGTTTTATTTTAAGCATTTCTTGGCAAAAATTAACTAGTTCATGTCGTATATTCTCTGTAATCCTTTGAATAATAGCCGAGTTTGCTATAACGTATGCAGAATGATCAATTTTAGACCAAGAAGATCGAAATCGTACAAACATTCGGTTATCAGGGCCTGTTGTCGCTGAAGGTAACACTGCTTGAAATGCTGTTCCAATGACTAATTCAAAAATATGATATCTGCATGCAAGCCAAAATAAGTTTTTTCCAAGTTTATGTTCTAATAGTACACATGACCCATTGTTTTTACCAGTATTCGAAAATGTTGTATCAAAACACATTGCAACGATATTTTTGTATAAATTCCATTCTTTTTCACTCAAACAATCGAAAACGGTTTGTGCCTGCATTTCTCCTGTTGAACAAGATAATTTTTTAATACTCAGTAATTTAATTTCATCTCCACCTGACACCAATACTGGGAGACAGTCCACATATTGTAAATGAGTGAGGTCCAACATCAGTTTTCCATCCCAGTGAACTGTTAATTTGCTGTTTATTGTAAATGATTCTTTAATAAAACTAGCCATTTCTTGCCTTAATTTCTTACGATGTAGTTTTATCGTACTTTGACTACATGCAAACGTATCAATATTCTCTCCAAGACTTTTTAGTGTAGCTCCAATGATAAAGGTGGCTTGCCGATCACTGACCTTAGTTCTATCTAGCACAGCTGATAATTCTGATGTGATCAAAGGTTTCAATTTCTTTTTACTTTTTGAACTTTTTTTGATTTTTTTTCATTGACAATAAAATCATCGTCGGAATTAGTATTATCACTAGAATGGTTTTCTTCTGTACTTAATGATGTAAAATCATAAAAATTACTCAAATTTTGATTAGTAACTTTTTCTTTATAGAGTTGTTGTTTTTCTTTTCGTTTATCTTTACGATTCTCTTTTTGCGTGGTAAAAACGTCCACTGTAGACATAAAACCTCTTCTCCCTGGCATCCGTTGTGCCAGTAAAAACTGTCTATCTTCATCAATTTTAATTTTTTTTAAAGCATCAGCATCAGCGATATCGAAGAGATTGGTCAATTTTATATGAAACCCACATTCGTGTTGTCGGTGAAGCTCTGTTTTTCTATTTTTATGTTTGAAAAGATTTAGCCATTGATTATAAAGTTTTTTAAACTTATTTATAGCATTATCTTTTCGAGTTGTCGGTATTCTTGCTTTATTCCAAACAAATGTAACTTCTTCGATCACTTTATTGCATGCATATTTAAACAAATTTTTTCAATACGATAAATATGAAAGAAAAACCGTAATACTTCACCATTAGACGGCAAACGATTACTTGGTACAGTTGAAATAGGCTGACCAATTAAATAAATATAAGTATTACTTCGCGTTGTCATTTTTAATTTACTGAATAAATATATGTATAATTAAATTAGCACTGATTCACATTTAAAGCACACTGACAATTAACAATTAGAGTGACACGAACATCAAAACAGCGCACTGTCAACTAAAATATAATTCTACAATGGTAATAGACGTATATCAACCTTTAATATATAGTCATAGTATAATAAGTTATAAACTGTACAATACATAGGAATAACCCTGTCAGAAGTATAGATAAAATGTTTTATTTATTGATATAGTAATAATACAGTCGTATAAGAAAATATTACAATTGCAATAATACTAATATTTATAAGTATAGTATAGGAAAAATACCGTAGGTTATTCTGTACAATAAAAACTTTAAATTGCTTGGGATGGCTCAAAAATAATTTTTTTTCATAAGTATAAATGTGGAAACTATTTTTAAACTCTAGAAAACAAATTTAGATGGTAGGAAGACAAAATTTTTTTAAGTAATTTTTTTAGACCACCCTAATATATATATATATTTTAATAATATTGACAAGGAATTAGTAGTTTAAGTATAATAAAACTTAATGAAGTTTGAAGGAAATTCTTTATTTTAACCATAAGTACAAGCTTTTTAGTATAAAAAAGTTATGCTATATAAGACATTTCGGCATTATTTAGTATTAACTGTGAAATACAAGCAAAAGAAAATATTTTTACATTTATTAATTCTAATATATACTAAAATTTAATTTGAATTATTTGAATCGAAAAAACTCGCAATAAACATAATTAGTATCAATTATATGCAGGTAAAGGAGATGTGTTTGGAGATTCATTTTGGAAAGACACTGCTCTGGGGCAATCAGCAGCTAACGTACGCGCACTAACTTACTGTGATTTACACACGATAAAAAGAGACCGACTTTTAGAAGTTTTAGATTTCTATCAAGCATTTGCTAACTCGTTTTCAAGAAATTTAATTCTCACTTATAATCTTAGGCACAGAGTAAATATTATATATTTCAATATTTCAGATGTAATATTTTAAAATACAGTATTAAAAGGTAAAGTGTTAATTATTTAGCTTATATTTCGAAAAGTTGCTGATGTACGCCGAGAAAAAGAGTTGGCTGAAAAACGAAAGAATGAACCTCAACTGGATGAGCAACGAGATCAACTAGTTCGAAAAATTTTTACGAAATTCCGTAAAGACAGAGCTCCCAGTCAAGTTATTGGTTTACAACAGAGTGACGAAAATAAAAGCGAGGGTTGGTATAATTAAAAAAAATTTCCTTTATTTTATGTTTATTGTCAATGATATAATTAATTGGAAACAATAAAGAAAATTGTAAATAATAAAATAATATCTGATTAGCTTAAAAATTATATTTTTAAAAAACTAACTAAAAATTTAAAATTTAATATTTAAACAACTAAAACATAAGCATTATATATGTGCTATGATTTTTTTACATTAGGACAATCATCGGGAACTGTAGCAGATCCTTCGGATGGTGGTGGAACTGGCCGTCCAAAAGTGTTACCTTTAGTATTAAGACAGCAGAGTGAAGATCAACAGGCGTCAAGTTCCAGTGGACCTAGAGCTACCCCTCCAAAACCTGCACCAAAAAAAATATCTAAATGGGGAAAAGTTTTAGGTGGTGGTAACGGAAGCACTGACTCAGCGGATAATTCAGTTGTCAGTTTACAGAGTGCTCCAGCCAAAATTAGAGATTCACCTAATAGGCAGCAACCTGGAAACGGCCACAAAGTTTTTCCAAAACTTCAAAAAGTTCCTTCAGCCGCTGCTGAACCATTTCCTAATTTAGTTCAATCACAAACTAGACAAGGGACCATTGAAGAATCAGACGAAAACTTGCGACCTCCAAGAACTGAATCAGAGGTACATGCAGCATTACCAATTATGATTTCGGTAGCTACGTCCACTGATTACACTTATCCAGTGGCAATTTCACCTCCCCCTCCACCATGCACATCAGTTATATTACCTCCACCACCTCTTGATCAAGAGGACTTGTCGGTTAAAATGCACGACCTTAAGACAGATGTTCAATCCATAAATCTTAGGTTAATTGCCATTGAGGATATGATGCAGAGAATTTTTGGTAGATTAGATAATTTAACCAACTTACCTTTACCGTTACCCACGCCTGATGGAAGTGATATAAGAGGTTGCCGAACAAAAAGTACAGATGACCTAAGTTTGCCAATGACGCCTAAATTACCGCCAATGATGCGGCGTCGACGAAGCAAATCTCGAACAAGGTCTACCCCATCAGTCTTGCCGCCAATGAGGCCATACAGCCCCAAAGACAAATCACCGCCTCCACCTCCAAGATCGGAATCGCTCAAAAAATCTTGTCCGCCTAGGTCAACTGACTTCTTGTAATATATAAATCATTAATATTAAATCAAATGTACGAAATGAGATTAATGTCTTGTAATTATGTTTTAGACTTGATAATATTTACATATTTCATATTTTATTATACTATTTTTTCTCGCTTAATGGGTAAACATGATTAAGAGTAACTTGAGATTAAAATTTGAGAAATTATTAAAATTAATTTAGTAAATTAAATTCTTAATTGGGTAATTTGGTTTTTATATATTAGAAGTGTTTATAAGAAATTATAAAATAACTAATAAAAAGTATTATCAGTGAACATTTTTTATCGTTACTGGTTTGCTGTATAGAAAACCATTAAAATTTATTCCATTTTTAAGATATGAAACTTTTTTATTTATAATCAAAAATTAAATAAAAATTTTATTAAAATATTTCATATATTATATAGTTTAATAATAATTAAAATTTATATAAAACTGTTTTTTTTAAATTAATTAATTTTTAATTCTTAATAAATTACATCTCTATACTATAATTTTTGTGCAATAAATTTTTATGAATATATTATTAAATATCAATAATGTGAATTAAGATTTTTATACATTTCACTTTAATTAGAAACGTTTTTAATTTCAGCAGTTATTATTTAATTTATATAAAATATTCATTTTTTTATACATATAATATTTTAAATTATTTTAAAAATATAATAATCTTTCAAAAAGGGTTAAATTATCATTCATTGAACATTTTACCAAACATAAAATTTTATTTACATTTACTAATATAACTGTATATTTAAACTATTACACAATATGTCCACAAAAATCATTTGTTAGCTTAGTTTTTTCATTAAATACGGGAATTTTGTAATAGTTTAGTTTAACATTAGTAGATCTAGTTTAATCAATACAAATGAATTAGTAAAAGTATAAAATATATTTTTATTAGCAAAAATGAGACTTCAAAAGTTTTTTAAAAACTAAAAATTAAAGTATATGATATTTCAGGTTTCTGATGCAATCTATTTGTTTTTAACTATTGCGTTTTTTTCGTACTAACTTAACATATTATTGTAATGACTAGATAATTTATACGGGATTAAATAATGTAATTTATGTTTTGCGCTAAGACTATCTTTTTCATCAAAGGAATTAATATTAAAAGAATCAAAATATGTATTCATAAGTCAAATAGTGAATAAAAAACACAGCAAATCAAAAATAAATTAAATTATTACCTCTTAAAGTAATAAATAGTAAATCGATTTGAAAATAATTCAAATTTTATTAGGAAATATATAAAATATTTTAATTTGCACATCGAATTTCTAGTTTTAAAAAGACACATCGAGAAGGGAGAATTTTTAAAAGTGCCTTCCACAAGATCCTTTTTATGATCATTTGGGTGTAAATATATAATTATATAAAGTCTAAAATAGATTAATAGTAAAAATTTAGAAGTACAAATAATTTTTTTAACAACTTTACTACCTATAAAATATTTTATAGTGATCACAGTTAATTATTTGATATACTAACTACTAAATTTTAACTTTTCTATCGATTTTCAGCACAATTTTGTTTATAAACAAGAATTTTTTGGTAATTAAAAATTAATAAAATTATATTTGATAAATTATCAAATAATATTTTGAATGCACTTTGAGAGAATATTGCACTTTATTTTTTATTTAAAATAGTTAACGGTGAGAATATGTAATTACGTTTATAACAAAAATTAATTAACTTTCGATTTATTTTTTTTATGTCATTTTACATTTACTAAAATTTTCAATTATAAAGGTATATGTTATGTATAAATACAAAACTCTATTTGTTTTTGTTACCGACTGTCTTTCACAATTTTATTATTGTTGTGCAATGTATGGATTTGTCGTTAATTATGTATAATTTTATGTCTTAAAAGAACCTTGAAGTAAGCAAAATTGAAATTAGATTTAGCTCGTCACACAATCACTTTATAGTTACAATGAGACAAGTGAAATATTCAAACATCGTCTAAAAAAAATAATTTGTCTCTCGAATTTTTATCGTCTTACGGGTCTTTATTTATGGTCAACGCCAATAGAACAATGTTTAAACGAATGAACCATACTTAAATGTTTGTAAGATGATAGCTGTTCAAAAGACAAGAATAATGTAGTTATTTTAAGGTTTTTTTAACATTCCTGCACGAAAAAGTGCTCAAATTATATAGATTTATCTATTCCAATATAGAAATCGCTGCCTTTTACCGATGTATTTTGTTATCATGTGATACTTATTTCCATAATGTTATTGTAAAGTAGACTGTTTATTTATATCCTTCTATTTTGTGTTTTGTAATTTAGTAATTTTGAAGCCATAAACTTCCAAAATTAGTGTAATAAATTTAGTGATTAATTAATTGACTTGTAATTTTTTTAATTAGAAAGTAGAGATTGTTTTATTCTATTTTATTAAATTTATTTTCTATACGACTTAATTCCACTTTGTAAATATTAGGCACAGATTAGTAATTTGAAGATTAATCAATGTATCATAAACTTAGCGCTCGTGTACAAAATGTGATTCAATTATTCGCTGTGCAAATCAAATTAATTAACTTTGTTTCAAAAAAGAAAAAAATGTTTTTTTACTTGTACCTATGTCCTTATTGACTATAGTATTAATAAATATTGTCTATAGGCAATTAAATTAATACACAGTGTATGTAATTTGTAAGAATAAGTTTGTTAAGTGATGATTTATTAGCTTACTATTTTGAAATTATTAACTCTATTAAATAATGAAATAATAAAAATAATAGAAAATATGTTAAAAGCATCCACCTATCACATTCCATTTACATTACGAGATAAAAAAATATTCAAATCAGTATCAAATATTTTATAGCAGACCCGGGAACCGAAATTATTTTGGTTTTTATGATATCTAGTAAGTTAGATTATTTGTACCTAAATTTTTTCAAGGATTTCTAAGGTTAATAATTGTCAAAAACCGAAATTTTTTTTCCTTACCCTGGTTTATACTCAGAAACAACTTGTTAACTTGTTTACCATGAAAGTATTTATAATACTGTAGGCAAATACTAAGACATTTAGTTCAAATATGATTTGAATGGAAATAAATTTTGGATAGTACTACACCATACAAAATAGTAAAATATAAGATATATTTTTAAAAATATTTCTGTATTCATTAAGAATAATAGTTTAACCTATAATAACTTTTGATTCATGACCAATTTATTATTAATGGAATAGAATTAAAACTAATTTTTATAAAAATATTTTTCTGAATATAGAAATACGAATCTATAAGATTTTTTCAAATGTTTTTCTCGTGTTACATTAAACTTTCATATAATTTTGAATATAATTTAAAAATAGTATTTGAAATTTATATATTCTATTTTTCGTAGTTTCATAGATTTCATATAACAGATATTGGTTAGTTAATATTCAGTTTTTATCATTACAATGTTACAATTTTTCCATCTTAATAGTGTAATAAACTAAACATTAATATATGTATTTTTCTAAATTTAATGATTAAATATATTGTAATATAGTAGTATCTATTATGACTACAGTATATTACAGTCATAATACTTTCTACAATATTATAAGGTCCCTGAAGTAAATTAGACGAAATTAGTCACACTACACACAAATTGTTCTTCAAAATATTTTAAAGCGTATATCATATAGTAAGGAAAATTAAAAAAGTAAAACATTCATTTCCGAATAAAGAAATGTTCAGTTATTTTCCTCATTATATAGTAAAATATATTATAATATAAAACTAAATCACATTCTATTCATTAAATTAATGTTTATATAAGTTTAGAGTTATAAAATTTTGATATAGTAATAGAAAAAAATGGATACATTAGCCATCATTAGATTGATATGATACATCAATAGTTATTAAGAAAAATATAAAAAAAAATAATAATAATAGTTTCTCATAAATATAAATTTATTGCAAGTGCCGTGAATAATGTAATATATAATAAATAAACGTGTATCTATAGTTACTGAAAGAATAAATTTCAATTTGATGTAGGACTGTCGATATTTTTCATAAACATTTTATTGTAGTAAAAATTGTAACAGTTAAACATAAATTCTGCAATCTGTAAATTCTATAAATGCTAAATTAATTAAACAAAAATCCTTACCATATCAAAATTGAAAATTTCTATAATGCAAAAGTTACCTATATCAACTAAAGATAATGTGATAAATACCTGGTAAATATTACTTGATAGAACAATTTGTTTTATTAAAATATTATAAGAAATTATGGAACCTATAATTTTCACGAAACAACTTTAATTTAAAGATGGCTTGCTAATGCCAAAAGCCCTTTTTGTTTAAAAAAAAAAATATTAACATATTAAAATTAAATAATCATAGAACTGTTTTCAGTTTATTACATTACCGAGAACCCATAATAGCAGACGAAAGACTAATGAGGAAGCCCTTATATTGTGTGCGTTGTCACCGCTATACCGAACATGCAAATCCATCTAACTTAATTTTGTTGAGAAATGGTCGTCCGGCATTAACATCACATTGTTTTTATTGCCATAAAAAACGTATACAACTAGTACCATTCAATTGGTACTTTGCATTTACTGGTGAACGGTAAACACCCGTAATGATATTAAGGTATATGTTGACTTAATGTAAATAATTCAAATTAATTTCAACTTCCCAGAATACGTACTATAAAAAGGGCCAGAAAGAGAAAACGAAAGATTTAGTATTGGTGATGTTTTTCTATGTAACACACAATTACTTGCAAAAAAACTACAACTGAAGGATCACATTTAGTCATCGTCAAGTTATTTGAATTATTTTAAATGATAATATTATTTTACAAGGCTTACAAATATTAATATATACTATTTTTATTTATTTTTTGTTTGCTGAAGTTATGAAATTAGTTTATTTTATTTTACTGTGACTACAAAAAAATATTATTTTTCGAATCCATTATTAGAGGTTTTACAATTTTCATTGAAAAGTATTTGTTAAACTTATTACTCGAGAAACTTTATTGGATAATATTGAGCTTGTTTTCATAATTTTCAATATTAGATGTATAAAATGATTACATAATAAAAAAAAACATATTTATTTAAAAACTTTTTTCCATTAGAAAAATGTGTTAAAATATTTTTTAGTAACAAAATTTCATTGATTTGTGTTAAATAAATTCTACGTGTTATAAAATAATTTGAAATATATTAAATTAATTTCATTTGGAGAAAATCAGTTTGATATCTCATATTTTATTTATGTTGTATAAAAGATAATTAGGAAGATAGAAAATCTTAATTTTGCATATAGTTCATTGAAAACAATACAAAAATGATTAAAATTTTAATTTAAAAAAATATCTAGATGAATACATTTCATCTATATAAATTATGATGAAAAAATTGCGAACGCTTTTGAAATACGAAAAATAAGAAATTTAAGGATACTACTTAAATTTTAATATATAAAAACAGGCTTATTTTTTATATAACTATTTAGTAGACGAATTAAGGTCCAAATAAATAAATACTAAATTATGTTCAAAACTGCTTACTTAATTCATAATTGTATTATTATTTTATTTTATGAACATTAGATAATATTTAGATTTGTTTAAAGTTTTTGTAATTATTGAAAATGCTATCCAATTATTCTATATATTTATTCACGGCCTCGTCAGGTCAATAAATAAATAAATTCAAATTATAATATCACAAGAAATGAATATTTTTAAATAATTCAAATGAAATATTTGAGTAAACTTAAAAAATACTGTAATGTTTCGCTATTTTTTTATGACTGCTTGAAAAAAAATTACTGATGATCAAGTTGAAAAATGGCTAGGTAAAGAATTTTTCTATGTCACATTACTGACAAATTTTAACGGTTAGTACTTTGAGAATAAATTGATTTTACTTGAGCAGACGTTATCGATGTGAAACAGGAAGTAGAATATGGTAAATATCGTGTTTATGTAAAGTATTATTGCACGGCGCATTAGGTAGGCAATATAGGTACAAAAGCGAAAACAAGTATTTTTATCGACGACGCAATATAGAGAAAGCTTAACGACATAACCTCATCACTTTGGAACTTCACTTGAAAATTATGTTAGATAATTCGAAATGTTTTATATTTAAATATGAGTTTTTTTCTTTTTTACAAAGCATGGACTAATATATAGGTTTTTTGGTTTCTAATTGATATAAACAGTATTTTTAAACCAAACTGTTATATGAATTTTCACTATGAAATTAATCGTAGGATGATGAATTACATTAAACTGAACAACAAAACTGTTAAACTAAAATTATAAAATACTAAACTTAAGTACTTTTTGAATTGCGTCACGTCGTTTAAAATTCAGAAAATAAGTAAACTGTTATACTAAACTAAAGGTCGTCGTAATGCGACTTTTTTTTTACTTCGATTCAATTTTTCTAGACAAATATAAAACATTTTTGTTTTATATAAAACAAAAATTTGAGTACACAGCCAAGACGAATCTTTGAATTCCTTCCTTTTCACATAATATGATGAAAACATATGCTTTGACATATCTATTAACTTGGCCTATTTTATACGATAAATAGTCCAAGTTATAATTCATTGGGGTTACTTTTATGATAAACTGTTAAAATACAGTGCGATTAAAACTTTTGGATCGCATTAAGTTTTATAAGAGTGTGCATAACAAGTAAACAAATACTTTAACGTAACGTAGTCAGGGAGAGTCTATTACAAATTAATATTCTGTTTGTTTTTTATAAATTTAATATTCATAGTAATATTACTTTTTATTTTAATTATCTCGCGAGATATATTTAAACAGATGGAAATCATTTCGTATTGATACGTAAAAACCGAATGCACTTATAAACATTTTGAATTGGAACTGTGAACAATTGCATTTGCTCCGATAACATTAGTCTTTTTCTTCTCTATTGTCAATCTTGAAAACGGATTGATTAGTCGCCCCTTTCAGGAAAGATCAGGTGGACGATTTTCAAACGCAGAGAGATGGTTTTTTTTAGCTTCGATGCTGATATAGGAAAAACATACTCAAAAAGATTATCAAAATATTATAAAACACAACCAATGGATATTTTTGGGAACTTTTGCTGAAATTTAGCGGCCAACAGAAACGAGCACAACGAACGTCGCACGCATACGCCGGCAGAAATGTGGCGACATGCGATACCGCGTGCAAATATCGTTAAGCCATTTGCTGCCGGTACATTAGTTTTGTCGGGACCGTTCGCGAGTTTGTTCTCTCCGTTCTAACCGTTAGCGCCGCAAACATTATTTTTTTATTGAACACGACGTCGTGAAATGTGTCGATGACTATTGTTTATTTTTCGTAAGTTCATTTAAAAAATAATAATAGCAAGCGTTTGTCAGTTTTCGGCCGTGGTGTAATTTAATTTCCTTTTGATTTTTTTAATAACATTTCATCTCTGTCAGAAACAGAAATCATTAGCGTTTTATCGGTCTAGAGTTTAAATAAACTTTTAAACTATTATTGTTACTAATGTTGATTAGAACAGGACCAACTATTCATTGAAAAACCGCCATTGGAAAAAAACCGTAAGTACATGGAAACTGACGAGTACAAACTTTTCAAAATTTTCAATTTTCTATTTGTTTATATTCAAAAAAAATGTGGTTAATCCCATGAAAAACGTGATCCAGGTCTAAAAATATGTTCCATAGTTATGAATATTTATACTCCACGAAAGTTTACATTTTAACTGAAAAATATTAATCTGTCAGGAAAATTGCTTTATAATTTTTTACATGCCATTTATCATAATTATGTATTTATCAAATAAACTTGGGTGTCTAAAAATATTATACAAGTTTCAGATTTAATATTTTTCGTTGTTGTGTTTATGAAATCTTAACCAATAATCTTTGCTTAAAATTGGCATTTCATTAGCTTAATATGAAATATTATTGAGTCACATTTGCTTATTCTAGTCTGACTGAAAATTCATTTGAGTACTTGTGGGTACTCTTTAAAAATTTAAATATTATATTAAATTAATTTAAATATTGTTAGAAAATATTCAAATAATTTAGTTTCTGTATGCATCTGATTAATATCGTCTTACAAGGTTTACTGAGCAGTTTTTTTTAAATAATTAAAATTTCAACAAATATTTATTATACTTTTATGTACATATAAACTTTTCAGTATTAAGAAATTTTAGTATCTTTGTAATTTTCTAACAGTACATTATTTTGTTATGCTGATGCATGTTTAAAATTGTTTTTAATGACATATTTTCTCAATGTAAACTCAAACATATGACAAGGTGACTCCTAATTCGTGTTTTTCCATAAGGCCAAACATTTTTACCTCGTTTAAGGTACATATTTTTAAAAATGTTATCCAACTTTTTATTTTCAACGGGTTTCTAGTATTAAACATTCACAAGTGTGAAATTATTATGTAAAATTAAAGATACATTAATGTTTAGAATTTCAATAGTCATAATTATAATCAAAACAAACTTATTTCATAATTTTTTTACCCCAGAATAATTATGAATAAAATTTATTTGTTACATATATCAAATGTTTTCAAATAACTACAAACTAAATTTATTAAAACATATAAGAAATTATTTGCATAAATACAACTAAATTGTATTTATTTATAAATGTACATGACAATAGTGTGCTCTGTTTATTGAAAGTTCTGGTTAGTAAATTTCAACAATTAAAACAGTTTCGATTCTGTTTTTGTCATATTTTCTACTTATATAACAGAAAATTTATGTCAAGTGCAATAAATACTGTGGTCAAGAGGCAATAGATATTTCCACAAGAGTACGCAAACATTACAATCTGATTCGCAAAAAGGAATTTACTACACTAACACAAATTTCGTTTGAATAATTATCATCACCTACTTTCAATTATTGTTTCAGTACTCTTTGAAAATAACAACTGATTTTAATGTAAATTTAAAAATAATGCAATTAATTTTGTACTTGCTCTTTTGTTTTTGACAATTATCATATGATTCAATAAATAATAATAACAATCTCAAAAATTCTTTAAATAAATTAGATAAATTTTATAAAATATAATTCATTGTAAAGAAATGTGATCGATTTCATACAGTGTATTTACTATTAATGCATGTAAAATAACTCAATATAGGTAGAGAGTAGATGTTTTTTTTATGAAATTACTATCAGCTAACAATCTTTAGGTTTCTTCAATTTTTCGTGGACAAGTTGTATTGTTTTGTGATGAAAAAATAAATTATATAATTTTTACAATATAGATTGAAAATTGTAGAAATTATGCGTGATTTAAAAAAACTCCCATATATTACGAGTTTTTGTTCTATGGTTCTTTAATGTTAAAAAAAATTAAATATTTTCGCTGTAGATGTATTTTTGAATATCATCGAAAATAGGGATGAATATTTCGTTGAAAATTTATTTTTAATTTAACGTATGTACGTTTGTTTAATGTTAAATATTGATACTATAAGCATAACGCTTATTATAGATAGTCAATGACGTCATTTGAATAGAAAATATAGTCTTAACCGTGTTTGATAAAAGTGGATCATTATGTTGATGTCGTAGCCCTCGAACAACCGTGAATAATATGCATCAATTTTATTTCAGACACTATTATACACATCGTAAACTCTTAATTTATAATTAAATTTTTATTTTCATTACTTTATTTTATTTATTTATTTTTTTTTTTTTGAGAAAACAATTAGTACTTATCACATAATGTGCAATTGGATTAAAACTGTCAATAATGCAATTTAAAAACCTTTAAAATAAAAATATGGAAGACCATATGATTTTTTTTGTATTTAAATGTTTTCACTGTTCTTGAAATAACCAAAATTCTTTTAAGATCTCTGTTGTCAATTTGATTTAATTGAAATTGACACAACGGAAATTGTATTCTTTGAATATTTTTTTCAAAAGGTCCCATTAAATATAAAATTACTCGCATTACCTGTTTATAGGATTTTATTATGACTATTTAATGTCGTTTTTTAAAAAAGATAATGTCAAATTAATGGGCAAAATGATTCGTATTCGAAACTGTGTATATTATGTAAAAGATTCGAAGAATATATCGACGTAATATGTGTATTATTATGACGTTTAATATGAATATAATCTAAAATCAACGGATACAATTGTGTTGGCGGAAATATAAACCATTAATTTTTTAACGACACATAGTGTAAAATGAACGACGTGTACAACGTGAAGAGAACACTAAATAGAAACGTGGACAGCATCAGACTACCGTAGGCATCTATTTTATGGTAAAATCATTTATGAAGAGTCAAGAAACACAAGTTTATGACCAATAAAAAAGGCAGTATCATCAGAGTAGAAACTAAGTTGTTCTCTTAAAAATAAATACCATATTGGTATAAAAAACTTTCAAATTACAACTCATACGTTTTATTTAAATTTTTCTGTGACATATTCTTAATAGCCAATCTAAAAGTATATCGTCCATATATGGTACACATGTTCTTTTAAAGTATAAATAAAGTTTCAAAATGAAACGTAAACTTCATGAAACGTAAACCTAATTATATAACAGCTTGTTCTAAAAAAAATTTTCATCATATTTCAATATTTGAATTTATTTTAATGCCTTTATTTAAAATATATATACATATATTATAATAATAAAATGATTAGATAAAATATATTATATAAAAAAATTACTTAACAAAATTTTTTATGAAGATCATCATAACAGTAAATACTTGTGGCTTAAATTAAAACAGCCTTAGAACTCTAGTTATTTGAATGTGCATTAATTCTAAGTAATATGAAATTATAGATGTTATTTAAGTAAAAAAAAATTGATTTTTACTAAAACGAATCATCTTTATTACTGTCATCATAAAAGAAAAATGAACAAACGGTGTTGCCGATACGTTAACGGGATAGTACATGATATGCACTGACTCGGGTTCAACACTCAGTAACAGATGGCTTCGATTGCTGAACGTGATATCAGTTCAGTAATTAGAATCGCCATTCCTCTTTCCAACGACGAACTAACCACCTGTTCCAGAGTATCCATAGTTAAGAAACCTCATCTTGGCCGCTGTAGCCCTCAATGGACTGTAAAACTATAAAAAAATAATTTGAAAAATCTAAAAACAAATTGTTAGTTATTCGATAAACTTTAACTTCGTTCAATTAAAACAGCTCTTTCAGCCTAAAATAATTATAGTTAGGTAGGTAGGACTTTTAAAATTTGAGTTATAATAATTCAGTAATAAGATAATACCGAAAATGTTTTTAATAAATTACATTTTTATGTGTTACGGTATTGCATTTTATTTTCTAAATATTTCACGCGGGTCTTATCTAAAATAAAATCCCTTATATAATAAAATAAGTTAAAAATTGTGGTATACAACATTTGGATAAATAATATAAAATCATTCTCATTATAAACATGCTGTGTATTATGTAAAAAATGTAGGCACTTGATATAAAATACGTAAAACACAGAATTCTTGATTTTTTTTTCCAACACTTATATTATTTATAAATTGGATTGTTTAGTATTAATAAGTTGAATTTCTAAAAAATAATACATTTTATGAACGCTAACATGTAAAGTATTAACATTTTTAAGACGAAATTCTATAATTTAGTTAATTCTGATATCTTAATTTTCACACATCTAACGATATGTGATAGGTTCGATAGGGTACAGCTTTTTATCATATCGTCTAGGTATCGTATAAAGATTTTTAGAAAGCTGCGTAAGAGGGTCTATCTGATATTATTCAGATATTTGTTTTCAGCTCAAATACAGTCATCTAGATCAGTGCTTCTCAAACTGGGGGCCGTGGCTATATGACTGGTGGGCCGTGAAATATTTATTCCTTTTTAAAAATATTTTCGGTTATTTAGTTATTAAACAGACCATATGATTAATCATAGCCGATAAAGTCTAATGTTAGATAGTTTTTATTTAATAAGAATGAGATAAGAATCTAATGTGAGATAAAATGCAATAAAATTATAGACTATCGACAATGATGATAACTTTAATGATATAGCATTACAGTCGTACAGTCGTACATTCGTGTTTCTTTGTTCGATATCGTTGGTTTTGTGTTGTGTTAAATATTTTTAAAAATTAAAAATGGAAAAGTGGTTGAGAGCAAATATAAAAACAGATACTTCTAGTTCTAGCTCAACAACCAATAAAAAAAAAAATGAATTTTTGCCTGCTAATAATAAAAAAAAACGCAAGTACAATTCAGAATATATAAAATTTGGTTTCATTGTATCATGCGTAAATAAGGAAGAACGACCAATGTGTGTCATATGTTTAAATACACTTTCAAACGATTGCATGAGACCTGGAAAATTAAGTAGACACTTAATTACTATGCACCCCGAACACCAAAATAAAACGTCAGATTTTTTCGAAAGAAAAGCATCAGAACAAAGTCGGCAAGTAGTTTTTTTTGATAAACATACTAATTTAAATAATACACTTCTTAAAGCTTCTTTTGAAATGGCTTTACTAATTAGTAAAGCTAAAAAAAGTTTTACTATTGGAGAAAACTTGGTTTTACCTGCAGCAATAAAAATATGTGAAATTGTACACGGTGATAAAATTGCAGAGGCATTACGGTCCATCCCTGTTTCTAATGATACTATTAAAAGAAGAATAGACTGTATGGGAGATTATATAAAATCTCAATTATTAATTCAAATTAAAAGAAGTGACACTTTTGCAATACAACTCGATGAATCAACAGATCTTACAAATAATGCCCAGTTAATGGTATTTGTGAGATATCAATATAATCTACAAATAAATGAAGATTTACTTTTTTGTGAAACTCTTTCTGAGACAACTAAAGGAATAGATATATTTAAAAAAGTAAATGATTTTTTTCTTATAAACGAACTATTCTGGTCCAAATGTGTTGGTGTATGTACAGATGGAGCAGCAGCAATGACTGGTAAAATATCAGGGTTTAAAGCAGAAGTGATGAAAGTTAATTCTGATGTAAAATTTGTTCATTGCATTATACATAGAGAACATTTAACTTTTCGAAAAATTGGCTGTGAACTGAATTCAATAATGAATGATGTAGTATCAATGGTAAATTTTGTGAAAAGCCGTGCTCTTAATTCAAGACTTTTTAAAATTTTATGTGAAGATGTGGGATCCAACCATAATACACTACTATTCCATACTGACGTTCGTTGGCTATCCCGAGGTAAAGTTTTAAAAAGAGTTATAGAACTAAGTGATGAGCTCCGTATATTTCTCTGTGATATTAAACCAGATTTATCTGCACTGTTAAGTGATGAAAAATGGATGTGTTTAGCTTCATATTTAGCAGATTTTTTCGATAAAGTTAATGAATTAAATCTATCTCTTCAAGGTAAAAGTACAAACATTTTAATACTTACCTCAAAAATTCAAGCATTTAATCAAAAATTATCTTCTTGGTTAAATGCATTTAACAATGGAGATTCCTCAATGTTTCCGAGTTTACATGATTTTCTTACTGCTAATGAACTTTCAATAGCAATTTCAGTTTCAAGTGTAATAACTGACCATATGTCTTCAATGCTAACATTTTTATCTAAATATTTTCCAAATTTAAATGAAGATAATGAACTAAATTGGGTAAAAATACCATTTTCTATTTCTTTAAAATACGATCATATTCCATGGGCCGCAAAAGAGCAACTAATTGAAATTAGAGAAGACTCAACTCTTGAAACAGAATTTAATGAAAAAGAACTTACTGAATTTTGGTTAAGACGACAGCAAGAGTATCCATTAATTTCAAAAGCGGCATTACTTATATTAATGCCTTTCGCATCGACATATCTTTGTGAAACTGCATTTTCACAACTTCAAATTATAAAAAACAAACATAGATCATGCATTTCACAACAGTCGTTAGAAGCAAACTTGCGTATTTCAGTTTCAAATATCACACCGGACATAAATATGTTATGCGAAAATATGCAAGCTCACCCGTCACATTAATAATCATCAACATTACTACTGAATATTTTTGTATTGTTTTTTTTATTACCAATTAATTGAAGTTTATATAAGTTTAAATTTTAATACTATTATAAAATTGTTTCAAAAATATATTAAAAACATTTATTTACTATACATTTTAATAATCTATTTGTGTGAAATAGTCCATTTCGTTTTAGTATATAATTAAGAAAAAATAATTAATGATTTTGATTAAGGGGGCCTTGACAGTTTCACATTAAATTTAGGGGGGCCCCATGACAAAAAAGTTTGAGAAGCACTGATCTAGATGCCACATAAATGTTGTCAACTACATTTTTCTGGAGTTAATTCAATAAAATTTAAATTATAATAAATATCGTATCAAAGTTAAGATTTTTCAAGTTTTTAAATAAATTAAAATTTCTTTTAAATTTTCCCGACTTATTTGGTTTTTAATGTACCGAGGGTGCTGTGATTAAGATCAATACGACTGCTACAATTCAACATGAAATACGGTTATTGTCAAAATTCCTCTATTTCAAACTTCAATAACTTTACCATCGTATTACTATTATGATTATGTAGTTTTGTTATAATCCAATTACTATACTGTTTCCGCATACTTCTATGATAAAATACTCATCTATTGTGTTATCCCTATACAATGGACTACAATAGAATATTTTATCATTCACAGTTAGTAATAGAAAATAAGTTTATTTAGAACAGTTGTATTATTAAAGAATAGATGTTAAGAATTAAAATCATGATATATTTATAACATTATATACTTATTTATTTATCAATACAATTTTACATTCCTTTTAAATTTATTTCATTAACATAAAGAATCCATAGAAATGTAAACATTTTGAGAAGCTGTATGTGCAAAAATAAAAAATTTAAGAAGCCTTAGAAATACAAACATTCAAGAAGCCATAGAAATGTAACAATATAAATTTTAAGAAGTCATAGAAATGCAAACAATTTTTTGAAGCCTTAGAAAAGCAAACATTTTAGGAAACCATAGAAATGTAAAAATATAAATTTTAAGAAGCCATAGAAATATAAAAACATAAATTTTAAGAATCCTTAAAAATGCAAACAATTTTAAGAAGCCATAGAAATGCAAACAATATTAAGAAGCCAAAGAAATATATAAGATATAATTTTTAAGAAGCCTCAAATATTCAACAATTTTAAGAAGTCCTAGAAATTCAAATATATAAATTTTAATTTTTAATGGGAAATTGTAGATAAAAGTTCTTAATAAAAGTAATGAATGTACTAAAATATTATTAATTGCAGAACTCAAACATTGGTTTAATGTTACAAAATAACAATCAATGATGTGTAAGAATTATGTATGTGATATTATTATACATTCTTACATTTAACCAAAATAATTGTTTTAAAATCTTTAAAAAAGTGAATCATAAAGAGGATCAAGAATAATTTAAAAGAATTTTTTATCAATAGATCAATTCTTATTAGGGTTATAAACCTGCAAAACATGTATAAAGCATTTTGAACAGAAATAACAGTTGAATAGGGTTACTCTTTAAATTAAAATTCATTATTTATCGTTTATTCATTGACTATACATATTATGCATTCTATGATTGCACATTACTTTTCTTGTCATTGTGAAATACTAAACAACCTGAAATTATTTCTTAAATAGTTCTAAATATTAACTGATTTTCTATGATTGTATACATATACGAACAAATATATTTTTAATTTTATATGTATATTATCTTATTTATTTATAGCATATTATTTCGAAAAAATATATATTTTAATAAAGTTTATTTTTTCATAATTATATTATAAATAAAGTTTCCATTATATTTTAAGTGTAAATCATTGTTCTCTTTTAATCTTAATGCACATAATACATAACAATTATTATTATTTTTTAATATTAAAAATTAAAAATAATGGTCTAAATAAATAATTAATTGATCGATTACCAATTTTTCATTATTACTTTTTGAAATATTAGTATTTGAAGATTTAGAAATGGTATGAATATTAAATAAAAATAATGGGCTAGTATTAAATATTGCTGTATTTTTATCATAACGCATAGTTTTCTACGTTATACACCTCGATTACCTAAAATTAATCATTATAAAAATTCAAATATTAACAATAAAATACTGGTTATTCATCAATCAATCAAAATTTTATTTAGACTATTCATCATTTAATAGTAAAAATCTACACTATGGAACAATTTTATTTTACAGTAATATTGATATTTACAATGATATATAAAATTAAATTAAATTTTAATCAATATATTTGCATGGAAAAATATTGACTTAACGAAAAAATGGAAGGTATTATACTTAATAAATCTCATTTTATATATCACACGATTATTTTGAAGCCATTACAGATTACTTGATAGTACAATGCAGTGTGTGATATATAATACATATATAAAAAATGTAGGTAATTGTATACATAAAGAAAATATTATATGTCAAAATTGTTAGTCAAAATAGTTGAAAATTTAGCAACAGTTTTAAATGTCAACTGGTCTTAATATAGCATGCATGTAATAAATTTTATGAAAGTAATATTTTATGATACTCATACAATGTAAATTAATGATATTGCATATAAAGTTCTTTTTTAAAATTGCTTGTAGAAATAATCGCGATATCGGGGCACAATTACAATGCTTATAAAAATTTAAGATGTACATTTAGTATTCTATTGAACTTTGACGACTTTTTAAATGTCATTCGAATATTTCTTACTTTTCGACCACAATAAAGCTTCCCTACAATAGTTAGTTAGGTTTGTGTTCTTGATTCTAGTAAAATATTTTATATGGTTTCTAAATCACGCCTTGAACACTAACAGACCTTAATATGTGAACTGAATATTAAGTTCGTTCCTATACGAACAAGGTTTGTTTTATTATACCAGTATACCATTTATTATTTCATGGTGAATTACATTATATTTCGTATTGGTATTTTATTTTATTCGACGTACCATCTCAAAAAATAAATGTTATTACATAATGTCAGAATAACTTATCAAATTCAAAACATCATCTTTGCCTTAATAGTGTAGACCAAAATTTGAGCTTAATTCGATATAATATTACAAAGACTATTTAAGACAATAGCCCAGAATATAATATAAATAAATTATTAATCTTTCTAAAAGGTTCTCTATAATTTATAAAAAGTTTTAAGTACATTACTGATAAAAATGATTAAGAAAGAAAAATGAAATGAAATACATTTCAACGATTTTCTCTGAAAGCTTTTTACTTATATGATAGCAAAAAACTTTGAAAAATAAAATCAATGCTATCAAAACGTGATGTATGATTTTCAAAAACTCTATTAATGTTGAAGCACTTATATGGCAGTGGTTATACGCCATAAAGCATTGACATTTATTGTGCTCAATATTGTATAATCACAAGGGGCTTAAGTATCGACACTATCAAAAACAAAATCTACAAATAGTAATTTCAAACTACACAGTATTACAGAATACACAGTGTTCCTCAGGGAAAACAAATTGTACCACTTGGTGAATTCCGCTGTCTAAATTTAGCACTATTGCTTGTATAACGTGATCAGAATTTACTTAAATACCAAGAAACTCTACGTTAAATAAGTAGCAACTTGTACTTTGATAAATATTACATGATAATAAACTTCTTTTCAGTATATATACAAAAATATATTTATTTAAAAATTCGTTATCATTTGAAAAGTATTAATGCATTTTTTTTAAGAGAACATAAAAAATATCTTTTTTCATGGTCCTATAAATAATTTCAAACACTTAAAAATTAAAAAAGAATGTGATCCTGAGTGGAATTTTGTATAGATTTAAATTTTTTTTGAAGTGTTTTCCAACACTTTCAAAATTATACATGGATATTTAAAACTGTGGTTGTGTGATTTGAAATGTAAATTTTCATAGATTTGTTTAAAATGATCAAAAATTTCATTTTCATATTTTTTGTACACAAAATCAAAAATATTTGTACTTAAAAAAACAATTTTTATTATATTTAATAAATGCGTGTACTATTATATACTGAGCAATACAATCTACGCCTGAGACGTTCTTTGGTATACGATCGCATAAATTACCTTCTTTACTGTCTGAGTTCCGACTCTTCACTGTATTTTCCTTAATCTTTTTTATCTTCAAATCCCTTGACGGTCATTTTAACCAAGTAAACAACCAACAATTCATGGTATCCATCATATTTTATCTGGAAATTGTTTGGACAATAGACGCCACATCATATGATTGTTAGCTACGAAAATTGAACAGAATTACAAAAAGTATTATCTTTTATTACTAGAATTAAATAACGTTGTGCAAATTTTTTTTATGGGTGAGTTTTTTATTTCAGACTAATTTCGGGATTAGTTCAATATTATTATACTTTTCAGGGAAATTATAATGTTTATTGTGTTAAGTTATAGATATAACTCGATTTTAAATAAAATAATATTACACCAAGATGGTATGAGAAAATGACTTTTACTCTATCAAATAAAATTTAAATATGAAAAAGAGTCAACTTAATTTTTAATATACCCGATAAAAATATAATATCGTAAAACTATTTTGACTTCATCCATAAGAATAGTTGTATAAATTAATTAAACTTATTCATTCTTAAAAATATTCAATATTCAAAAATATATCTATTTTTCGAAAAAATACAATGTTATTTTAGAAACAACTAAAACTGAACAAAAAATCATTAAGCTCATGATAAAACTCATTAAAACGTGGAATTTTACTTCACAGTTGTCCAACAGTCAGTACCATGTATGAAAAATTACTATACTATCAATAAATGCTTAAGTAACATAATAAACTTATCACATACTAACATACTCTAAGGTCATTGAAAGTAAATCTAAGTTGTCATTAAAATTGCGTTATCATATAGATAGTATATTTAATGTACTTAAAAATGTAATTAAACCAACTAAATACCCAATTAAAAAACT